CAGGTCCCACGGCGGGGCTGCCGAGGGAAGCGGAACCTGCCCTCCTCGCCCCGGGAGAGAAGGGGAAGGAGGCAGAGTCAGGGGAGGGAGCGCGGAGCCAGTGAGCTCGGGTCCGACTCCCTCGCGGGCTCCGGAACCGGACGGGTCCGCCAGGCCCCCGAGCCGCCGTTACCCGCGACCTGAAGACAGAGCGGACCAGAGAGGCTCGCACTGGGCAAGGGCACATGGCTTCGCGACTCATGTCCGCGGGGACCACCACGGGCGACAGCGGCGGAGAGCTGAGCTCGGGGGACGACTCGGGCGACGCGGAGTGCCCGCGGAGCCCCGAGCCCGCGGCGTCCCGGAGCCTGGCGGAGCTGTTTGAGAAGGCGGCGGCGCACCTCCAGGGCTTGATCCACGTGGCCAGCAGGGAGCAGCTCTTGTACCTGTACGCCAGGTACAAGCAGGTAAAGTCGCTGGGAAGGGGTGGATGCGCGGGGGAGAGAGGCCTTCTCTTTGCAACAAAAACTAATAGTACATGTGCCCGGTAAATGGCTAGTGATGAAGCGTGTGGGTGTGGGTGTGTTTTGTTTGTTTTTCCAGTCATCCCTTAAAGATTAGCATCATTATGGACATGGAAAAGACCTGTCTGCTATCCTAGGAGTGATGTTGGACACTGGACACTGAATGGTAGTTTTTTCCTCTGTCTTCTCCGACTTGCTGCACTTAAGCTTTTACCAACTTTAGAACCGTTACAAAATGTGGGTGACAAGATAAGATTTGTCATTCACTCTTACCAAAGGGTCATACGGAAGTAACGTTAAAAAACAACAACACAACATTGTGAGATCCAAGAGAATATATGGTTGTAATAAAAAGGGTGATGCAATACGAAATAAAGTATTGTTACTTTAATGTGATTTTTTTTTTTAAACCCTAATGCCTTGGACATGTTTTGGCTGAATATGCTTCTGTCTGTTAGGTACAATTATAAAAATTTTAGAGCTCAAATACACCAGATGAGATAATGCCCTTCTTTTACAGAAACTGAAAGGGATTCCCAGAGAGAGTAGATAAGTTGCTTAGGATCATACAGATCAGTCAGTCTGAACTAGAACTAGCTTGTAGTTCCTGACTAAGGCTCTGAACTTTACTTGGAAATATGGAAATAAAAATAATAATAATGTCATATAAGACATATTTAATTTGCCATTCAAAGAGTCATTGGGTTAGGTACCAGAAGGAAAAATAATTGCTTTATCATAATAACAAATACTTGTTCAGCACCTTTTATGTGCAAAACACTTGGGTATTATGCCTACAGGGAGGGCGGAGAAGCAAGACCATCATGATACTTGCCTTCAAGGGACAAAGGTACTTGTGGAGTCTCGATTTAAACCCTGAAAACTTGCTGACAGGAATTAAAGAACAATTCAGGAAAACTCCAGCTCTTAGAACACTGGAAGCAACTTAGTGCTGGGTGATAGCCCATTTTATTTTATTAAGTTAAAAAAATTTTTTTCTTTTGATTCTTGGTATCTATTTTACCCTGTATTATTATTATTATTGTTATTTCCTCCTTTCTCCTTCCTTCTTCTGCGGTCCCTCTGTATTCTTTAACTGCGTATGCTGAATAGAGATGAAGCTTTTTTTTTGAAGGTTGATAAATATCTGTTAAATTGGTCTGAGAGAGAGAGTTGTAGATACAAATGATATAAATCATAGTATTGAACGAAAGTTGCCCCTGAATTGGCCTTGGAATTTGCTTTCTTGCAAAAGTTCTGGATATCTGTTTTTTGTTTGGTCACTTACCCTGTCCCAGTAACATTAAAATGAGACTTTCAGTTATTTATGAAGAATTTATTATGCATTGTGCTAGGACCTGTGACATGTCCGACTGATGATTCTCTGGACAGTGTGAGACTAATTTTCTCCAAATTCCCTAAAGAGCGTTGTTTCTAGGACATACATTTATTATTGATATTTGTGCCATCATTAGTAAAGATCTGATTTCTAAGTCATCAGTGAACTACAGTCACCTGTCAACCACTCTGTCTCAAGTGTACTCCATCCAGATAATCTAGAAGAGGTATATCCCTCACCCTTTCAAGAACTTGATGGTAGGGTGTCTAGAGATATTCTGTATCTGGAAAATAAAATTATTCATTATAAGTTGAATGTCCAGTATAATTCCTGCATGGTAGATCCAAATTTTTTGAAAAATAATTACATTCTGTATTCAGAATAGCACCCTATTTTGTTGGCTGAAGAAGGTAAGGTTGTTAGCAGGCAGGTGCTAAAAATAAGCTAAGATATGAACCTTTTTTCTCAGGCAGAGCTCTAAGCTTACCTAATATCTCTTTTAGTTTCAGCTCAGCTATGGCTTCAAAACCATCTTTTAGTGAAATTTCAAAAAGATCACACCAGGTAACAGGGTGTTTTGGTTCTCTGCACTAGCCTATATTTCTCCAAGCAAAGGATAACTAATTGACACCTGTGAAAACAACAGGACAATGAAAATTTCAAACTCCTTTGGGCTTCATTGTACGGGAGCCTCCAGCACTAGTACAGGTTAGACCTACTACTCACGTCCTCCTACTTCAGCCTGGGTACACTTGGTTCACTGGCATTCGCCATTGGCAATCTTTGTTGAAATACTCTGTTCTCAAGGGCACTAGATGTATCGTGTATATCAGAGAGAACAGAGTGTAGATGCTCTGTTAAAGTGGTACATTTTATAAATCTGCTTTATAGTTTATGATTCATTAATGATTTGGAAACTGTTACTCACGATGTCCTAAAATCCTGTAGGTTTATTTTTCTCAGTCTTTTCTGGATCCAGTACTGAATTTGGGAATACAAAAGCTATGTGTCAGTTGGGATACAGGGTCAGCTGCTAGACTTTTATTTTCAGCTCACATAATGGTCTGGATGTAGGTGATCTAGGACTGGTAGAGTGGTTCTGCTTCATGAGATCATCCAGGGGCTTGGTCTTTTTCTATCTTATAGCTCGGCCATCCCCCAAGGCAGTATTTCTCAAATTATGGTCTACAGACCGCAGAGAATGCCCGAGATTTTCTCAGGGGATCTGTAAGATCAAACTATTTTCATAATAATACTAAGACACTATTTGCCTTTTTTCTCTGCTGTCATGGTGGATAAAACTGCTGATTCAGTAGCAAGAATCAAAGCACTGGCAATAAGTTGTACTAGTAGTCATATTTTTTTGCCACCGTGCCCTCAGAGTAAAAAAAAAAAAAAAGCCAGTTTCACTTAAAAATGTCTTTGTTGAAGCAGTAAAAATTATTGATTTTTATTAAATATGAACTCAAGTTCAAGGCTCTAATATTGTGTGTGATGAAATGGGGGGGTACGCACAAAGGACTTCTGCATACTAAATTATGTTTGCTATTTCGAGGAAAAGCACTTGTGTAATTTTTGAGTTGCAAGCTGAGCTATCCACTTTTTTATTAAACATTTTTACTTAATAAAACAACTCACATATAAACTGCTTGTTCAGACTTGAACATTTAGCAGAATGTTGCTTGAAAGTGAATGAAGTGAGTCTGTCGCTTTAAGGAAAACAACTGACAGTATTTGTTGCTAATGAGAACATGTGAGCCTTCAAGTGAAAATTAGGAATTTGGAAAATCTGCCACGTGAGCTTGACAGCTTCCTAATACTTAAACACTTTTCTGATGAGATTAGTGGTGATTTAAATGATTGTGAACTTTTGTTAGTATTTAATGAAATGTGTCAACATTTGGAAAGTCTGCATAACTCAGTAACCATGTTTCCCAAATATTGCATGGAATAATGCTACAAGTTATGTGTGGGTAAAAGAACCTTTCAAAGTGCATGTCAGAGCAATGGATTTTAATGTAACAGTATGAAAAATTCATCAATATGACTTCATATTCCAGATTGCAACTAACCTTAAAGAAACTGCCGCTTACTGAGTTTTGGTGTGGTATAAAAGAAGAATATCCACAATTACCTGAAAATGCTGCTAAAATGCCTCTCTTTTTCTTTTCCTTTTCCTTTTTTTCTTTTCCTTTTTCTTTTTCTCTTTTGATCCTCACCCGAGGATATTTTTTCCATTGCTTTTTAGAGAGAGTGGAAAGGGGAGAGAGAGAAAGAGAAACCTCAATGTGAAAGACATGTGGGTTGGTTGCCTCCCACACGTGCCCTGGCCAGGGCTCGGGATCAAGCCTGCAACTGAGGTGTGTGCCCTGGGACCCTTCATTCCCCCGGTTGATGCTCGATCCACTGAGCCAAACTGGCTAGGGCTAAAATGCCTTTCTTTTTGAATACCATATCTGTGTGAAGCTGAATTTTCTTCATATACTTCGACCAAAGCAACATATTATAGTAGATTGAATGCAAAAGTAGATTTTTGGTAATATGTTAAGGCAGAAGTTAAAGAGAGTTGCAAAATGTAAAACAATGTCACTTTTTTCACTAATTTTGTTTTGCTTTAGAGTATATGGTTATTTTTTTAAAAAAATATGTTTTTATTGATTTCAGAGAGAGGAAGGGGGGAAGAGAGAGAGAAACATCAATGATAGAATCATCGATCGGCTGCCTCCTGCACGCCCCCTACTGGAGATTGAGCCTCCAGTCCGGGCATGTGCCCTGACCTGCAATGAACAGTGACCTCCAGGTTCACGGGTCAGTGCTCAGTCACTGAGCCACACTGGCTAGGCTGTATGGTTATTTTTTATAAAAGTTTATGTTAACATGTAATGAGTTTATTATTTTTAAATGAATTAATACATATTTTTAAAATGTCTTTTAGTTTCTAATATGGTAAATATCAATAGATATTTACCCACATAAACAAAAACTCTTTGGGGGTCCTCAGTTTCTAAGAGTGTAAAGGGGTCATGAGACCAGAAGTTTGAGAATTGCTGTCCTAAGATCCTTTGTCCATGGCCAGAGATAGCTCACCATCAGCACATGCATGATTTAGCCAGGGCACAGGGAAAAGGAAGGACAAGCCTCCCTTTCTTTTTAAGAAAGATATTTATATCACTTTTACAAACATTCAGTCGCATGTGCCTGGGCAGAAGTTGCATGGCTACATGTAATGTTTAGCTGGATGACTGTGTGTCTGGCTCAGACTTCTATTACTGTAAGAGAAATGGAGAATTGATATTAGTATTTGTTTCTGCCACTGGCTGGTGTCTGGTTAAAAAACAAAAATAGTAATAAGAGCTATTTTTATAATGTCTAATAGTTAATCTCATTTCATGTTTCTATCAGTCCAGTAGTTCAGGTGATTTTAGAGATACTGGAACTGAAGCCTAGATTCTGTGTAACATGTAAAATTGAATGGTATAGTAAAGGAATATTGGGCTTTGGAGTCAAACAGTCCTGGATTCAAATCTTGCCTACTGATTAGGATTTACTAACATGTGGACTGTGACAGCCCTTCTTAGCTGCTCTGTACTCATTTATAAAAGGAGTTTGTAGTGGCAAAGGTAACGAGGTTGTTGTGTGGCTCGTTTGACATAACATAGGTGGAGCTTTTGTGCAACAAATGCAGCTGCTGCTCTCTCACCTCCCCTGTGTCCCCTTATAACAGGGCTGCTCCTGTGTAAGTGTACGTTCTAGTAACAACCAGATTAACTGTGAGGAATTGCTAAGCAAATGATAGGGATAAGAATTGTTATGATTTCAGAGATAGGTGAGATCATTGTGGACTGAAAGAGTTCTTAGAATCTGAACCTTGAATGGGAGGTGTAGCATTTTGGAAAGCTCAGGGAAGAAGAGAGGGCATTTCTGGTGAGGGGAATTACATTGAGCAAAACTCAGAATAAAAATCCCAAAGGCAGTGAGTAGAGCAGTCTGGTTAGGAAGTAGACCATCATTTTGATTTTAGCAAAATTCAAGTGAAGGAGAGTAATAGGAGTTGTGGGAAGGTCCCTGATAAGTGGGTTGGGGTATTTAGCATTAGGAAAAGTAGGTGTTTTGTTGAACACATGCTTAATACATTCATTCTGTAGTCAAACATTAACTGAGGCACTGTATTAGGTGCAGTGATTAAGAACAGTTTCTTACAGACTGTATTCTAATGGAAAGATGAGACTTTACACAAAATTTCCTAACACAGTAAAAGTGAAAAGTGCTGTCATGGATTGTATTATACAGAGTAAGGGCTATGGGAGTTCATCAGAAAGGGAGATCACTCCTGGCAGTGGGAACTGGGCTGCACAGTGAGTTCTGCACTTGTGTGAATTTCATTTATGCTTATTTGCGGTGAAGGTATTTACTTCATAGTTTCACTGGATTAAATATCAGTATTGACCACAAACAGAAAAGGTTACCGTGGAATGGATAGAATTTATATTGTTGTTGAGAAACTCTTGAAATTTTTTGCACAGCTTCCAATGTAAATTTATATTGATTAGTTTCATAATAGGGCACTTTAAAAATAGTGTGTTTTATCCTGGAATTTGGGAGAGATAAAATGCTATAGTGTTATGAGTATTTAGCATAAACAATATTATGAATTGTGATGAACTGTACTTTAAAGTTTGTTTATTGCATGTTTTAAATTGTTCTATATTATAAATAGTTATTAGGATTGCATAATCTATATTTATAATTTGTCATATATATAATTTGTCTATTAAGAATGCAACTGTTTGTCACCCATATTTTTAAAATGTATTATAGTATTAGATAAGTTGTTATATGCAGTAAGCAAAACCAACCTGCATTTAAAGTTTGGTTCTTTTTGTTTGCTTTTGCAAAAACTGTTAAATTTTGTTATTCTATAGAGAATATTTTCTAGCCTGTAGTTACTAAGTACACTTAGTAAATCTGAAAATAAAAAGTTTCTCTGGCATTTCTTTGAAAAATAAGTTCTTGATTCCCCCCCCCCTTCATTTAGGTCAAAGTTGGAAATTGCAATACTCCTAAACCAGGCTTCTTTGATTTTGAAGGAAAGCAAAAATGGTAAGAAATTCTTGGACTCTGTTGGGGTTGTTGGAAATGGTTTAGGTGTTTAGGAATTAGAGAGGGGTGAGCAGATTAAAGAATTATTTTTATATTAATCTCCCTGCCGTAGACTGCTAAGGGCAAGCAGTTGGGAGAGAGATTAAAAGAATCGGATTTTACCTAAGTCTCCTTAAGGATTCTTGTTCTGCTATGTTGGGATGTAAGTTGTTCACCACAGACATACATTCCTTACATAAGAGTAGCTTCTTAGAGAGTGACCGTGCGAGCTGTGGCTGGAGGTTGCCCTTTCCAATCGGACAGTCCCCACTTCTCCCTCTGGAGAAGAGCAGGCTGCATCCCCATTTCTTACCCTTCTCCCCTGCCCCTATTTTATCTCACCTCTAGTGCTCTTCTGTCCCTTGCCCCACCCACCACAGTAAAGAAGTTCTGACCATAACCTCTTGGGAAGAAGGAAAAAAGAAACCAGATGCTTACTTAGTTCACTTTCCTACATATGTAAAGGATTATACCCGTCCCAGTTTTTTTACTTGTAATTCAAAGGTTTCCTCATATGGTAATATGAGGCCTTATTTCCTCTTGTCTAAAGGTAAAAAGAGGAATTGCACACAATAGGGAACCTTAGTTATACAGGGACTTTGAAGCATTAGCCCTGCAATTAAATGTATAAAGGGTAGGGTTTTTACAAAAATGACATATGGTTGTAGAGAGATGTGCTAAACATGAATTCTTTTTTTTTTTTTTAAATATATCTTTATTGATTTCAGAGAGAGGAAAGGAGAGGGGGAGAGAGAGAGAGAGAGAGAAACATCAACGATGACAGAGTCATTTATCGGCTTCCTCCTGCACGCCCCCGACTGGGGATCGAGTGACCCGGGCATGTGCCCTGACCAGGAATCAAACCCTGATCGTCTGGATCCTAGGTCGACGCTCAACCCGAGCCATGCCCGATCAGGCTAACCATGAATTCTGATATTGCCTTCTAGAGCAGTGCTGCTCAAAATGTGGTCCCCTGGACAGGTTCCCTGTCTGGACTGTCTTGCCAGCCATGAGGAGAGGCCAAGCTTGAAGCTGAATGTAAATCAGTTACGGCATCAAGCATGCTGCTTAGTTCTGCTGGCCTGTTTGTGTGTGTAGGACGTTCTCAGTGAAGGAAACAGTGCTTAGGTTTTCATTCTCGCCCAAGGTTTCTTTGTGGCTGATAATGAATAGTTCTGACTGCGATTTATTACTGTTGAACAATACCGATGTAACTCTTACTGTGAGTTTTTAATTTATGAAAATTTATAACTGTGTCTTGTTTCCAACAGTTTTACAAAGTTTACATTTTACAACTGCTCTAAAAATAATTCAGGCAAGAATCTAAATTGGATGCTAAAACCAGGAGATGAAAAACTACTGGGGAGCAATATTTATTCATGCTCACCCACAATTTGCCTATTAGTTACAAAGAAGAAAGTGAGAGATACTGCTTTTACCAAGTCCTCAGTCCTATCATTGATGATGGGACAGTCTGATACCATGTGCCCTCTGACGGGATGGGATGCGTTGTAAAGGACTTTCCACCTATGTATTCCCCTTAACAAAATCTTTAACCTGATTCTAATCATGATTAGTCACTTTTGGCATGAACACTCTGTAGGTGAGGAGACAATCAGGCAAGTCCAAATTGAGGGATATTTTATAAAACAACTGGTTTGGATTCTTAAAAATATCAGTGTCATAGAAGAGAAAAAAGGCTAAAGATACATGAAACTCAATGCTATGTGTGAATCTTGATTGGCTCCTGGTCTGGGAGAAGAAAGCTACAAAGGAAATTATTGGCAGATCAGGGAAATCTGATTATATTGATGTTAAATTTCCTCAGTTTGATATAGGCTGATATATATATAGGAAGTGTTAGGATATATACAAGGAACTCAAGAAATTAAGTAAAAATAAATTTAGAAACCTCGGAAAGGTGTTATTCATCATAGGAGCAGGAACGTGGTTAAGAAACTGTGGGATTGAGTTCTGGGTCACAGTGGATCAGTGGGTCTACTTCCAGGTTGGAAGTAAAATTGGCAGGGAAAAACCAAGAAGGAGTCTGTCCTGGCAGCTTGCAGGAAAGTCTAAAATACTGCTCTTGGTATTTATACTGCAGGAAGTCCCTACCTTCTTACCCATTTGTATATTCTTACCTCTGTCCTCACCAGCCCTCACTTTTGAAGTCCCAGCCCTAGGCTTCAGTATCCACTGCCAGCAGCTTATAGATGAGATAACAGCAGAAGAGGGAGGTGTATTTCTCACATCTTAAATAAGTTTGAGGCATTTTTCCAGGGAATGTTGTTTTGTGTGATGATTAGTTTCCATATTACTGAAATGCCATAAGCACAGTTAAGTCCTGAGATGGAAACTACTTTTATTGGTCTGTAGGTAAGACATTTTCAACAGGGTTGGAAGTTGGTTTGGAGGAATTATAAAATCTTAGATATTACAATGGTTTGTGGTCTTCCAAAATTCAACAGATACACAGTATATCTGGATTATTAAAATTTCATGGGAGAGGGCAATTAGGAAAAAATGTCTAAAAGGCTTCTTAGGTGGGGTGAGATCTGTATTATTTAAGACCAATGTAAATGCAAAAAGAGAGGGCTGCTTATCTATGGCTTATTATATCCATATCCTCAGACCTGTAAAATGTGTATGTCAATTTCTTTAATAAAAAGAAACATGCTGTTTCTGTTACTTATGTAGTTAATGATGAGTCATTTTGGATATTCTGTACTATAGGGAAGCATGGAAAGCACTTGGTGATTCCAGCCCGAGCCAAGCAATGCAGGAATATATCGCAGCAGTTAAAAAATTAGATCCAGGTTGGAATCCTCAGGTAAGACTTAATGATTATAAATAATGCTTTCCAAAGACATATATTTCTCTCAAATAAAATGTTTAAATCTAAACTTAGGCTTAAGTAACATTATTTTCTCAAAAGATTCTAAATTTATTGCCATATTTACCTAAAAATACTGTTGCTTAAACATTAACATAACCAGCTACTGATACTGAGAACATCTCTGAATTATAGAGACTTTTTAAAAAGCATAACAGTAAATTTCAACCATGTAAAAACTATTTCAGAATTTTAAAGAGTGTAACATTAGATCATCACTATTATCTTAAATGGTAGGTATATCTTGGGCTTTTTATTTGTTTATTTTTATGAGCCCCGTCTGTGCAAGTACAAAATGATTATTGATAGAAATAAAATATGAATAACACATGCTTCTGCCTTTATGTGGTTTAAAGTATATTAGAGAAGATGAAACATACCAAAATATGGTAAATCGTATAAAACAATAACACCCAAGTGCTAGGGAATCCAGTGGAAGCAGAGATGACTTTGGACTTTGGGGCACTGGATGTTGTTCACTTAAATGTACTCTCTTTTTCTAGTATACTTAGTGGAGAACATCTATAAAGAATTTAATAAAGGTGGAATTACTACTTTATTTTAAAAAGAATTTTTAAAGCCATGGTTGACAGGTGTTTCAGTGGGATAAAGCTGGTACCATGTCAGAAATACAAACTGAATGTATTTCTTTTCAATAGAAATATTTAGGCCAAACTTTTTAGCAGTAAATGAATTCAGCAATTTTCAATGTTTTGATAATAATTAAGCTATTTCATGGGCACATATTAATTACCAGTATGAAGGAATTTTGTTCCATCAATCATGGAATCTTAAAATGTCAGAGTTGTGAGCAACTTTAAAGATGATGTATTATGACAATAACAGTATATTGTAACTCTGAGTACAAAGGGGGATAGATACATTTGATAATATGATTTGGGTGCCATTGAAACATTTCCTCATGTTTTCGATATACATGAGTATTCATTCTCAGAAATGCACTGTTTTATTAGTATCTTTTACAAAACATCAAGTTTGCATGCAAATATATATCATAAAGTCCCTAAGAACTTAAAACCTGAAATTCAGTGGTCAGAACAGGTGCTCCTCTGAGCTGAACTCAGCCTGAACACATATGGCACAGTGTTTAAAACAAAACAAAACTTGAATTTGAATGTCTTTAGATGGACTCGTCAGGTCCTGCCACTGTGGTCGCAGTTCTTCCTACTTGATTTATGCTTATGACTATTTCCAGTGCCTGGCCTGTGTAGGCATTTGAGTTTATAACTCCTGGTAAATGACAGCATTTATGATTTCTTACCTTCATTACCTTAATTACTAAATAAAATTCTGTTAACTCTGACTCTTACAAATGCTTGTAGAGTCCATGTGATTAGGTAGTTCTTCCTTATGGAAATCCAGACAGGCATTAAGGATGCTTTTTAAAAATATCTGAATCTCACCTATTGAACATAAACTTGATTTGTAAACCAAGCAGAATCAAAGGTACTTTCATATAAAGATCATTCTTTAATACATTGTTCTAAATATATTTGACATCATAATCTAGTTGTAAAGGGGAGTTTTGTTTCATTTACATTTAAGTTTTTAGTTTAAGCACTCTGAGCTGGTCCCCTTTGACTCAGCCTTTTCTCCTTGTTTTTTACTGTTATGGGGCAGAGCATGACCTCAATCTTAAGCAATTTGATGCTCAGTTCACGATCTTTTAGGTTAAAGACTCATTTTCGTTTGATATTTGTTTCTAAAAACAATGAAATAATAACTCTCATGTTAAATGTGCTGAGCTCTTTACACATGTATTCACCTTTGAAATCTTTGCAAGAATCTTAAGAATTAGAAACTTATTGTCTGCATTTTAAAAATGAGGAAATTTAGGTACAGAGAGATTTAGTACCTTGCCTAAGATTAGGCAGCTAATAAATGATGGTGCCATAATTTGGGTCTATTGTAATATGAGTGTAGAGCCCCACTCTTAACCACTCTGCTCCCTCTTCTATAGCATACCATATGTATATATATAATTTTATTATATAATGGCAGAATTTACTTTTTTCTCATTTTTGAATAATATTCTATTATATATATAAACTACATTTTATTTATCTTTTCATTTATAGATGGGCACTTAAATTGTTTTCATATCTTGGCTATTGCAAACCATGCTGCAGTGAACATGGGAGTGCAGATATCTCTTTGAGATCCTGATTGCATTTCCTTTAGATATATTCCCAGAAGGGGGGTTGCTGAATCATATGGGAGCTATGTTTTGAATTTTTTGAGGAACCTCCATACTATTTCCTGTCACGGTTATACCAATTTACATCCCACCAACAGTGTGCAACAAACAGTTCTCTTTTCTCAAAATCAGGAATGTTAACATTGATGAAATATTATTGGCAAACCCATAGTTCATATTCAAATTTATCATTTATCTAAAAAATGTCCTTTGTAGCTATTTTTTAAAATTCTGATTCATCATCCAATCTAGGATCATGCATTTCATTTAATGGTCCTGTCTCTTTAATCTTCTTTAATCTAAAACAGTTTTTCAACTTTTCTTTTTCTTTCTTGATCATGATGTTTTTGAAGAATATAGGCCAGTGGTTTTGTAGAATATCCCTTATATTGAGTTTGTCTGATGTTTCTTCATAATTAGAGTCAGATCATACATTTTTAGGGGGAATACCACAGAATCGTGTCCCTCTCAGTACATTACACCAGAGTGATGTCTTTTTGTCTCAGTGTTGGTTATGTTAACTTTGATCACTTGCCTAAGGTGATGTCTGCCAGATTTCTCTAATGTCAAGTCCCTATTTTCCCTTTGTAATTAGTGAGTAATTTGTGGGGAGATACTTTGAGACTATGTAAGTATCCTTTTCCTAATCAGATTTCACCCACTAGTTTTAATATCCATTAATGATTTTCTAACTCCATCATTTCGTCTACATTTATTATTTGCCATTCCACTGTAAGGATGGGCTTTCCCTTCTTCATTTATTTATTTATTCATTGTCAAGAACAGTGAAAGGTCTAAGATTGTACCCTACTTGCAAGCTAATAAGTTAGCCTGTTACTGTTTCTTAAATGCTGGCAGAAGTACAAGATTCCTGGGTCTGAGCCAAAGGACTTTTATTATTCATGGCATGGCAAACTGCATGAGCTTCATTAGATTTGCATCGGTTTCTCCAGTCCCCCAATTCCCCCGGGGATGCTGCAGGTGGGCCTGGATAGATTCCTGCATATGCAGTGAGTTGTGCACTAGGGAAGGAGCACTGAGCTTTGGGAATTCACCACTTTTATAGCAGATGGAAGCAAGCCTGCTCTTTGTCAGGGATTGGGAAGACATTACCTCATTCCTGAAAGTGGCTCACTGCACACAGCCCTGAGAGATGGCTCAGGTAAAGAGTGGTCAGAGCCTGGCATACTGAACAAGAGTGTGTGGGGACACTCAGGGTCCATGGTTCATTGCCTCTCCCAACATTCATGTAGTACTTATATCAGTACGTATTCATGGATTTTTTTTTTAGTAGTGAGTTATTACTTATTACCACCATTATTTATTTGGCCACTGAGAGCTCCTCCAAGATGGCTTCTGTGTCCTTTTGACATATCCCCATTGTTCTTTGAGCATTTTCTTTCTGGCACAAGATGTTTCAGAATATTAGTTTCCTACAGTTGCCATAGCAAAGAATTATAAACTGGTACTTCGTAGTTTAAAACAACAGAAAAGTATTCTCACAGTTCTGGAGGCTAGAGGCCTGAAGTCTAGCAGAGCTATACTCTCTTTGAAGGTTCTAGGGAAGAGTCCTTCCTTACCTTGGCCAGCTCCTGGCGACCTCAGGTATTCCTTAGCTTGTGGCAGCATAACTCCAGTCTCTGTCTCCATCCTCATATGGCCTTCTTCCCCGTGTCTCTGTATCTTAATCTCCCTTTTTCTCATATAGATGACACCAGCCCTTGGATTTAGGGCTTCCCTTAAACCTCATCTTAACTTTTCCCCCTTCAGCTTTATTGAGATATAATTAATTGACATACAACATTATATAAGTTTAAGGTGCACAAGGGGCTGATATGTTTTGATCTACTTATATGAAATGATTACTACCATCGCTAATACCTCCATTACACCACATAAATACTGTTTTCCTTTTTTGTGTTGGGAACATTTAAGATCTACTCTCTTAGCAACTGCCAAGTATATAGTACAGGGTTATTAACTATAATCATCATGTGTGTGCACATTAGATCCCCAGAACTTTTGTGACTGGAAGTTTGTGACCTTTGACCAAGGTTTTCCCCTCTTCCTCCCCCCCCAACCCCCTGGTAGACATCACTCTTCTCCTTGTTTCTATTAGTTTGACTTTTCTAAATTCCACATATAAGTGATATACAAGTATTTGTCTTTCTCTGTCTGACTTATTTCACTTAACATTAATGCCTTCAAGGTCCATTCATGATGTTGTAAATGGCAGAATTTCCTTCTTTCTCACGGCTGAATAATATTCCATTGTGTGTGTGTGTGTGTGTGTGTGTGTGTGTGTGTGTGTGTTTACACGTACATACATACATACCATGTCGCAGAATTTCCTTCTTTCTCACGGCTGAATAATATTCCAGTGTGTGTGTGTGTGTGTGTGTGTGTGTGTGTGTGTGTGTGTGTTTTTACACGTACATACATACATACCATGTCTTCTTTATGCATTCATCTGTTGACGGACACTTAGGTTGTTTTCATATCTTGGTTATTGTGAATAATGCTGCAACGAACATGGAGATGCAGATATCTCTTCAAGATTCTATTTTCATTTCCTTTGCATATATACCCAGAAGTGGGATTGCTGGATCATATGAGAATACTAGTTTTAGTTTTTGAGGAAACACTTATTTGTAAAGATATATGTACCCCTTTTTCCTGTGCATAGTATGATGAGTACTGTTTCTTTTGAGTACTAACA